ATTGCCATTTGACTTTATCTTAAAACTGGTGTGGGTATCTTAGTGTCTAAAGTATTGTATTATATGTGAACAATATAATATACTATGTGATTGTCTCTATAATCTAATATTATTATAGGTTGACCGAAACCTATATGGTTGGGAAATTGGTAAAATGTTATCTTTTATACACTATTTAGTTTCCGTTATGCTCAGTCTGTGTATAGTACAAACGTCGTGAAATAAAAGTGTAAGGTGTTAAAATTTGTAAGAAAACAAAGTTTTAGAGGGAATGGATTTTTTAAGAACAATTATGCCACCGGAGGCAACAGATTTGGTCGATTATTTTGATACCACGTATGTCCATGGGTCTTACAGAAGTGTTCAGCATAATCCGAATAATGGTATCAGACTTCGAAATATTGCACCACTCTATCCACCATCAATATGGAATGTCTATCAAACTACCCTTGATAATGGACATCGAACTAACAACGAAACAGAAGGGTGGAACCATCGTTTTTCAAAATTAGTAGGCCACAATCATCCTTCTATTTGGTCATTAATTAAGAAAATGAGATTAGAGTTGTCTTCAGATGAAACAATGTCAGCCCAATTCGTAATAGGCAATTTAAGTAAAAAAAAAAAAAAAATTATGAAAAAATGCAAGAAAAATTGTATAAAATATGTAGTGATGGCTTAACACAGCGGACAATCGACGAATATTTAACAGCTATTGCTTACACAATACGATTATTTTAATTATTTATTATTTTATATTATATTTTTAAATTGTAAATATTAACTTTTATAAATTATACTAATTATTGTGTTCAATTTTAACATTATTATACTATTATTTATTATAAAATGTAGGTACAAGTAATTTTGGAGTTGAAAATTCATATGATACTTGATTTAAAATTCGTCTTTTTTATCCATGTCTTTTTTATCGGTGGCTTTTTTATCCTGTGGATTTTTTATCCCATAGCTTTTTTATCAATGGCTTATTTATCCGTGGCTTTTTTGTCCGTGGCTTTTTTATCGGTGGCTTTTTTATCCGGTTACCGAAATACCTATACATAGTAGACGGTAGTCGTGTGAATGAATAATTATAAAATTATTTCATCTAAATCATGTGCCTACCTACAATCAAGATTCTAGGAAGCTGGTAAGGCCTATATTGGTAGGCACCATATTAAAAGCAGTGATGGGTAGTAACGTAACGAAAGTAACGGCGTTACTTTGGTTGTAATGCGTTACGTAATTTCATTAGAATTATTTCCAAGTAACGAAAATTACTTTTGAAAAGTAATTTCTATAATAACGAGTTACAGTTTAGAATTATTAAGAACTTACCTACCTATTGCGAATTGAAAAAAAATATACCTATGTATAATGCAGGTATTATTATGTTTACCAATCTAATATTATGTATATATATTTAATTTTAACTCTGCACAATTTAGTTTTCAATGGTTTTGACATTTGAATTCAATTTGCCTGCAGAAGACAATTGCCAAGAAATTAATTTTTTTTTTTACTTTTGTAACGAGAAAGTAATAAGTTACTTTTCTATTTGAAAAGTAAAGTAATTTCATTACAATTTTATTTGAGTAACTTAATTACATTTATCTCTTAGTAACGAGTAAAGTAACTTAATTACTTTTTAAAAGTAACTTACCCAACACTGATTAAAATATGCTTAGACATAAATACTAGCTGGTATTTATAATCAATGATAAAACTATAAATATTCTATATTATTATAGTTTAAATTATAATCAATTATTATGTTACATATTAATTATTAGGTACATAATGTTGTTGTTTGCCTAAAACAAATAGCCGGTCGTGAAATCTGAGCCACACTCGGAAAGCCGCTGTAATAATATCGTTATGCCTAGGCAGTGAATGGTGAATGCTATTAAAGAAGTAATTATTTTTTCAGTCACTAAGTAAATCATTTGAGTACTTGACTAGTACCTATTATTATTTTATGGCATGCACATAGTATTGCCGTATTGGAACGATTTGTTACTACTTTAAAATAATTTATAAACATGATTTAATTTTACACAAGTCAATTTTTATTTTTTTGTCCGACTCACCCGATCTTTATAGGCAATAAATAGAAATAATTTTCTCATAGATATTCAATGAAAACAAAAATGTTAAGTAAAAAAGTTTTAATGTTTGACTTTTATTTACAGAAATATTACGTTTGCAGGTTATTATTAACTGTAATTTATTTATAAATATGTATTATTATTTATTGCACAATAGTCAATTGAGAAATATCTATATAGATGGTATTTACGATAAAGAGAACTAGCCAACTAGGAATTTATAATAAAAGGGTTGTGCGATTTTTTTTTTAATAGGTACCTCTTTAAATTTTAAATGTAAACTTTATTAAGAAAAATTAAAGCCTATGATAATGTGTGTACTATTATATACTACCTATTGATCATAAGGACAAAGCAAAGGGAAGTGAAACAATAAATTGCAAAAAGTTTTCAAAAGCATACGACTTGAATACACGATTAATAAATTACTAAGCACTAAGGATAAGCATTTACTTTTGTTTTAACATTGTCTATTGTTTAAAAATAAATTTCACTTACCTTAATCATAAGATTAGTCTAGTTAGTGAGTCAGTGAGTGTATTCTGGCTTGAATTAGTTTGATTCTTGATATTCAAATTCAAAGATATACAAAATAATTCTAAAATTGGAGAACTTTAATATTATAGATTACGTAACTACGGTACTTTCGGCACACACGGGTCACACGTGTTTTCAAATTATCATATATAAATTACGATTACCTTTACACCTATGCCCATGTCCTATACGCATTCATCAATTTATACCTACTTACTTAAATAATGACGTAGGCCATAAATAATATAAACAATTCAAATAGTTACGTTCTACATTATTTAAAACAAAAAATATTTTTAAAGTATTTTGTACATTTTCACAATTTTAAACTTTCAAATTTATAATTAGTAATTAGAACTATAAATGTACATACTAATAGTCAATGTCAATATACCTATACATGTACATTATAAAATTCCATAATGGACAAACTGTTTTGTAATTGCTATTCATAGATTGTAGGACTGGGAATGACTCAAGTCAAAAATAATAAAATAGGTTCCTCTTGAAGAAATATTATATGTACCTACGCTATGGTTTTTATTTTCATTCTCTATTGGAGTTCTCGATATTTTATTGTACATAATTATATTTAACGACGATTAGGAAATAAATTAAAAAGTTGTCCATAGATGTTGATGAAGATTTGTAAGCTTGAAGGATTGTGTAAAACCGGTTGTCAGACTTGGTACAGTGGCGAGTTATTCAGTATATTCGTCAAAGCCCAAAGGTGGACTACACGCCCTCGCACTGCTATTTGGCAATAAAGGTACAGCGAAAGATGCAGCGGTTCATTTTTTGCTATTAGTATCTTAACCCTCAGGCACGCGCGCTTGGACACTTGTAATTCGTACCACAAGAGTTTACTACACTCCCGCGCCTTGTGCCTTGTACTTTCTATTACCTCCCACGCACAATGGATCGTTTATATTTTTACAAGCAACTTCCAATGTCCCACTTTTACTTTTCGCAGTTTAAATAATGATTTGTTTTTCACCTTCGTGTTATTACCTATAGATTACATTAGGAAAATAAGGACAAGGACAGGGGATAGATAATGAACAAAAATACTAAAAAAATACATATACATTTATATATTTTTTCATCTCCTCTTCATCAATATTTAAAACTCTACTTAGGACAGAATATAAAAAAAAGTATTTACAAAATACAAATACAATATATACTTATATATATTTAAAAATACTATATATAAGTACACTAAATTGGATGATCACAATAAGTAAATAACAACATGATAAAGGTCGACTATAATATATATATTTTTAGTAAACATTCCTATTAAAATTAATCTATTAATGAGATTTAGTTTTGTCTGTAAGACCAGGGAGATTCTTTAATTATTTTTTTTTTTCAACTCAAAGGAACACATTTAAATGCAAATTGGAACTAGGGCAAGAAGCAATTCTACTAAATAAGTCATAAAATCCTAATAATAGTTGATACTCAAGTTAATTAAATATCTGAAACAAAAATCAACATTATAATTTGTTAGGTTTTATGTAATAATGGGTACCGCTAACATGATAATATAATTCTAAAAAAATAAAAATTCAATAATACCTATATAAGTGGAATTTGGATTTATAAAAATGAAATTGTTATTATCTTATTAACCTTTTTTACCATAAATATCTAAAGGTATTATACGATTAGCTAGTAATATCACATCAAGCGGTATTTACTAATAATATATTACTACAGTGTTGAAAATATTGGAAGTCCAAACTGAATAAATATACTATAAATAATGAATAATTAATATTACAGTCCTTAATCTGGCTCCTTTTTAATTTATCAGAAATTCATAACATGAGTACCAATACACATGGATTTATGGAAAAATATTTAACCCGGGACGGATGATATCATTGTTTTGACAATAATAAATGGATTTAAAAATATGAATGTTATAAAATTGTTACTAGATAGTTTGTAAGTACCTATATAAAAAAAATGGCACAGACATGTTAGTAAAAAAATAAAGAAGCTAACTATTTATAAGATTAAATAAACGTGTTAAGTATAGGCCAATTTGTATTGTTTGTTCAATAATAAGTATGTCATGTAAAATCAATGTTAAGGGTTTTTACTCCTTAATATTTTAAATACATTCATTGGCATACTGACTATACTTGGCCCCTAAGAAATAAAGCAGTCTTTGAAAAAAAAAAAAAAAAATAATAGGTAATAAGAAACGAAAATGTTATATAATGGAATGTTGTTTAAGCTAAAGGAACACATTAAATTTAAACAGAAAAAAATTACATAAATATTCTATGTACAAAAATAAAAAAATAAAAAAGAATAGTCAACTTATTTAGGGTCTATTTATTAAGTACAACAGTTATCCCTGTGATGATGAATTTTGATCGGATACATCTGATCTTCTGAGTTACGTTCATCAGCTAGTGATCTAAACCTAACAAATCCATTTTCAGCAACTAACATGGACGGTGAAGGCTGTATGGCTGCTCTCTCGGCATATGCATACATACTTCTAGAGTCATCATCCATTCGTTTTAATGATCTCCTTTCAGTAGTGTGCGCAAATAACTGATGGTTAGCCAATGGCGGACCACCCATTGAGTATGTGTCATCATATATGTGTTTACCCGTACGTAACGTGTAATTGTGTACAGCTTGATTGGCACTGCAGATGGCTGGATAAATGTCATCTGATGGTGGATCACTCCGGGAAACAGTACCACGACATGGGAACAATGTTAAGCCGGATTGATTTTGAGCTTCTTTTTCGCTAGTATACCTCAGTGGCTGTATGGATGCCCAAAATATCAAAAAACATGAAGATATCTCAATCACACGTACAGAGAACTGATAACCCCACCATAACCATGGGTTTGGCTGATCTTTACCCAACATTTCATAAACACCAACCATACCATATAATTGAACTGATGCCATAAGAAGACTCAGCATACTAGTGGCCAATGTCACGCGTACAGAATGAGCCAAAGTAGGGCGATGTTCATGGAAACTAGCTCCAAATATAGTTCCTTGTTTCCTTAAGGAAGCATTAGTCATAGACCTATATAGACATACATAAGTCACCCCAAGTATTACACATAATAGAATGTAGATACATTTGGATACTAATGAAAGTATATGAGCTTCTGAATAAAACAATACAATAATACAAAATGCCATATAGCAACAAATAAATATTGCTAATAATGACGATTTTTGTAAACTATAAAAAATTGTTTTGACATCGGTGGCTCGCAACAGAAACAAAAATAAAACTGAATATACAGTCAATAAGAGTGGGAATACTATGTTCAGAGCCAACCCAGACACTTGAATAGACAATGTTCCGTTTACATTATATGGGTCATATAACAAATAAGCACTCCTTACACAGCCTATGATTATTAATAACCATGTATGTGACAAAGTAACCAAATGTTAATAATTTCTTAAATGCTCTTATCCTTGCATACTAACCATTGAACAAAATACCAATATCAGGAAAAGTATCTCAATTAAATAAACATGAACATCCCAAAAAACGCCAAGAATATACCTGGCTCTTGGTTCAGGATGATCCGGCATAGAAACAATCTCTGGATGTGATTCAGGTATATCAACATCATTTTTAGATTCTGTTACTTGTTGCTCCTTAAATAATGATGGTTCATTTTCAGTTGTTTCTTCAGATGTCGTTTCATATACTTGAGATGAAGAGGTGGTTTCGATTGGTTGTACAATTCGTGGTGTGGGCTTGGGAACTTCTTGTTTATCAGTTCGAGATGGTTTCAGATCCTGGTCAAAGTTTGGCTTATCGTTACCTAATAATCCATCCATTTTTTTACCTGTATCATCAAACAATATTCTAAAAACATTTGGGCTTGACAAGTTTTGTACTTGCTGTACCACAATACTATAAGTATCGTTAAGGCCTTTGAATCCATTAACTGCTGTAGTACTAGTTGGTTCTGAATAAGTAGATTCTGGCACTCTTAACTTATTCAAACTAGGTGTGTTTATAGTCTTCTTTTTTGTATCAGCTACTGGAACATCTACAGGCCTGATGGGTATAAATTCTTTTTCAAATTTTGTCTGCACCATTCCTGGCCGCCTAGTTTGCAATGGCTTTTCTGAATTACTACCCCTAAGTGTCGGTTTGTCAGCAAAAGGATTGAACCGCTCTGGAGGTAAAGGTGGAGTAAAAGTGTTTCTATCTGGAGGATTGTATGCAGGTATCAGACGGTTAGTCGGACTTGTCACATGTTGTTGTTGTTGCGACGAATTTGTCCGTGAAGCCCGAGAGCCTGATCCTGGCTTTGACGCTAGCGTCTTGTTGAACAGCTCATAGTCTACGCCATCAGTTAGCACCCGTCTATCTAATACACCCATGTCATGGTCGAACATTTGTGCATTGCTGTCAGACACCAGGAGCCAAAGCATTGCCGCAAGCAATACCTGTGGCATGACTGGTCGCATTTGCGTGATATCAGATATGGACTCCTTTCATTATTATAATATTGTCGCTTTAGTTTTTATTTTTCAAAAAACACTAACTCGGCCGTGTACTAAAATGTAACATGTCAACTTACGATAATACCCTGGACATTACAAGACGGCCGGGTTCACAGGTGTCGGCGGCGCACAGGATACCGATGGAATCCTTTGTCATGATACGCAGTCGACACGACCACGGTGGCTCCTAAGTGTGTCAACACATTTTCACATCAAAACTCGCGCACTTCACGTCGTACTACGTTCGAACAATCACGACGGACGAATGTATAAAATGTTTACGAACGATACGGCACCTACCAAAATCGCACTTACGAACAGTGAATATACGCCCGGAAACAATAAACATTCCCTAATAAACCATTACGTCTGGTGCGCCAGCCATTTGCATTTTGTTATAATGAATTTCCCAAAGACTACATAATAATCATATGGTTCATGGATGTTATAAACAAACGCATTACAATCGATTAAAAAACATTTGCCATTTACCGGTTTGAAAACGTTGAAATTATTAAAACAAAATCATTTTATATTTTGTACAGTATTTATAAGTCTATAATTAATAATTATAGACATTAATTGTTAATTAATATTGGAAAAATAATTTCTAAGTTACCAACATTAAGTATGATAAGCGAATATGGTAGATACCGGGTAAGGGGTATATTTTGATCTTGGGTATTGATAATGGAATATATTTTAGCCTGTATCCGACGCTACTGGGGGTCAATTCTCGAAATCATTCGACATAATACGTCGATCAAGTAGTATACGACAATAGTAGAATGATATTGGCGTATACGCCGAATCACATCTATTGCTACTTATTCTTGAACACCAAACGCCAAATACATTGTCGAACGCTACATTTTGTAGAGTGGTGACGTCAAGTCGTATAAACCACGATTGTGGTATATGAATTATCTGTAGTTATTTTCAAGATAAGAACTCAAAACTTGATAGTTGATAGTGTGATAAGGTTTAATGGTTTTAGTGTTTTACTCAGTACTCTATAATATTCTATAGGCTTGTATACTGTTATGTCGTTACTCGTTTACTTTATGTTCATATTTTATAATATTGTTAGAAGTTAGAACTCAGAGTTTGAAATATTGAATATTTTTTATTTTTTTATTATTTGTATATCATTATCTTTACGCAATGTCGAAAGACTCCACTGAAATTTCAGGCCGAGCAACCACCGACCAAATGATTGCTTTGAACGGCTTCTTAAAGGTCGATCCACAACTACTAAGTGGTAAGTTTAGTAGTACGTTCACCTTTAAGATTGCTCAAAAACGATGGGAAATTATTGCCGAATCATTAAATGCCATGCCCGGGGCTGTTAAAAGTTGGAACAAATGGCGTAAAGTGAGTGCTTACTTTAAAATGTAGTTGGTGTTTACAACAATCTTTTGTATTGTATTTCAGACATTCCAAGACAACCGTACTAAGGCAAAATCAAAACATTCAATGATTCGTGCAGATATGAGGAAAACTGGTTTAAACACTCCTTGCTCTAGCCTTTCTTTGATTGAAAATGATACGTTGGACCTGATCAACCCAACTAGCATTTCTGGTCACACATCAAGCAACGCTTCTAAAGCCTATTTTGTGTTTGACGATAACTGTGATTTAGGGACACAACCACTTGATGACAATATTGTCACAGTTGATCTGAGTGATGTCTTGCTACAGGAAGAAAATTCCATTCCATTTGGTACCTCTTCATCTCCTCTTCCAAATCCTAACATCAGTTCCATTAATGATCCAATCAAAAGTATGTTCAAATTAAATTTTCCTATAAGAGCTGTTGTTAGCTTAACCGTTCAATTTTCCTTAAATTTCCTTTAACCGTTTCTTTTCTTACATTTCAAATATTTCACCATAAGTATTGCTTTATACATAATAATACTACTAATGCTGGATTGCACAAAACATTTAATGAATCAATAGTGAGCTAATGGTCCCTTAAACAAGATTTAGTGGCCCGTGATTGGTCCATTAAATTTTTAGTGAACCATTAAATTTAATAAATTGTTTATGCAACCCAGCATAAGTCAACTGTTTTATTCAACTCAGTAGCGCAACCAGAATTTTTTTAAGCAGGGGGGCGGGGGTCCATACTTATTTTATTATTCTAAATTAAATAAATAAAAAAAGTTTATCTTTTATCGCCCATTATAAGTATGGCTCAAGGTGGGTGGCTGGACCCGGGGACGACCCCCCCCTGGTTGCGCCACTGATTCAACTCAATATCATATATCTTGAGTAATATTAATTATGTAATTTCTAAAATACTATATCTTATATAAAATATTTTATTATCTTATATTATGATTTAGTAGAAATGAATATGTTTTTTACTATAGAAACTACAACTTCAAAATTAAAAAGGGCATCAACAGAAAAAAGACTTGATGAGAGCAATGATGCTGCAACACGACTGGCTGTTCTGGGGGAAAAAAAATTGGCTATGAAAGCTCAATACTATAAAGATAAATTGGAATTAATGCAAAAAAAAAATGACATTTTAAGCTGCATAGCAGAAGCACTCGTCAATAAAAATATTTAATTTTTTTTTTTTAATAACATTAATATTCATTTAATAAATTCTTATAAGACATACTTGCGCTCATTTACCTACTACTATTTATTTTTATTTTTCATTTAAAAGAAACATGTTTTATATAAAAGTAATATTTCTTAAAATTATTATACATTAAAAACATTCATTTTAAAACATTCATTTACATGTAGGTATAATATTAGTTTATAATTTCAAAATCTTAAAGAGTAATAAATTTTAAATGTTTTCAATGACTCAACATTTTTTTATAAAGTATTATTAATTAAGTAGTTTACATATTATATAGAGTAAGTATTGAAATTAACAATTTACTTGTTTATTTAAATCTATTTGTATTATTTAAACATAAAATTAGCATACAACTTTAAAATATGCTTTTAGGTATCGAATGTCGTCTATTTCTATACAAATAATTTGCAACCACTGATCTTGTTTGTCTACCTAGCAACAAATCATTTCCTCCAAAATGCTGACCATTATTTGGGTGATTTGAATGTTGAATTATACCCATTTCTATATTTGTTGGGCCTTCTTCTACCGGCAGTTCAACATTATGTATTATACACATATTGTGTAGTACTGTGCATGCGTTTATAATTTTCGTGCATTTTTCAGGGTGGTAATGGAGAAATCTATGTTTTAAAAGGCACCTAAATATATTATGTAATAGCATTAAGAGTAATATTACTATTTGTTGCTGCGTTTAAATATTTTATCTATTTTAAGGCTTACCTAAATCTCATTTTTAGAACACCATTACATCTCTCTACAGCACTTCGCGTTGTCATTTGTATTTTGTTGTAATACTGCTCAACATCAGTTACTGGGTCATTAATAGGTGTTAGCAACCATGGTCTTAATGCATATCCAGAATCACCTTAGATTAACAATTGTTTTAACAGGATGATTTATATTATTGCTATATGAATGAATGAAAGTTGTTACAGATTAGTATCATTGATTATAAATTTTATTGTAAGTTCCAGCGCATTCCAAAACATTGCAAAAAGTGGTGCATGTTGCATTGGTGTCTGTCCGGCTTAAGACAGTCATTTCCGTCAACATGTTTTTATATTTAGTTTTAAATTCAAACCACAATATTCAGCAAATAAAAGATACACCTGAATCCTAATCAAAACTAAGTAATAAGCAGTTGAACGAAACATACCTAATAAAAAATATCCTTGTTGGCCATTCCGATAAATTTGTTCCAATATTGGGAGTACATCACAGTTATTCCATATATACGAATCATTCGTTGATCCAGGGAAAAGAGCATTTACATTCAAAATTCTAAGTTTAGAATCACATATCTTTGGAAAAACATTCACTTTATTATTATCACACACAATTATTCACTTTCTAAATGTATACTTAACCAATTGCACATTAATAGAGTGGTATCCTTTTCGGTTAACATAAATATATTCAGAATGAGCATTTAAAGGATCTTTAATTGGTGGCACAATCGCTACATGAGTACAATCAATACATCCAATACAACCCTGAATACCTGTATTCTCATAAAATCTGAAATGTATATAAATATATCTACTTGGTCTTGTACAAATTAATCATATTATTCTCAATACAAATTTCATAGAATGAGGTGTTCAAAATTAATTGATTTTTCTATATTATATCTCATATGGCTTTTAAAAACAAATATTACTATTTTTTAGAAATTATGAGATGAGAAACTTATGGACCAATTTAAAATATAAAAATAGGAAATTAATTTTATAACTGAACCCTATTCTATGTGCTTCATTGTTTTGGCTATGAAGAAACAATTGTATCAAATGATTAAGATTATTTAAATGTAATTTATAAAAGAGCTTACTCATTTCGAACTTTTCTAAGTTCTCTTAAACTACTAGGAAATTTTACCCATTTCCCAAATACATTATCAGTATTTAATGCAGATGTGACTTCTTCAATGCAACGAGACACAGAACTTTGGGAAACTGAGGTAAATCTACTATTACCAACTGGAGTCTGGTAGCTACCAGTGGCAAAAAAGTTTAAGGCAACTAAAACCTGAAAAAAATATATAACTACTAATTTATGAAATATGAATTTTCAATAGTATTATTAAGAGGATTCCAGCACATATTTTATTGTCTTTTTGAGCCCAATATAAAATACTGCCCGACAAAGAATCATAAGTGAAACTATAGGAAGACCAAACTTACTCATATCCCTACCAAAAAGATATTTCATCTTTGGTATAGGTAATATTGAAGTGGTATAGACAAGAATAGCCCTCTCTATTATTTAGTGCTATAGTGCCATTGCAAATAAGTGCCAAGATTTTAAACCAAGAGATTTAAAACTTTTTAATTTTGGTAATAGATAGTTAACTATTAAACTAAAAATGAACAAAACTCGATTCTTCTTCCTCTTAATAATTGCTTTAATATAATTATTTACCTAATAAGTAATCTACCTTAATACCTAATCTAATATTACACTAAACTACTAGGTACCGTTCCTAAATTGTTAACAACTCGAACTTGCCTTTGTTGATACATCTAAATCTGAAGATCTTTTCGGTGACTTAAGAAAAGGACTAAGTTCTTGAATTAATGTATTAGCTAAATTTTTTGTAAGTCTATAGTTTTTAATAAATGCCGAATCTGTAAGTTCAAATGAGTTAATGATATTATTATTAACAGTTCTTGGTCTAGGTTGAAAATTAATTTGATTTTGCTGATTTTGGATTGCGAATAAATAAGCCATTTCGTCGTCATTCGCCATAGTTAATAAAGTAAAATATGTAATTAATTTTAATAAAAAATGAATAGTTCGATTTAGTAAAATTGAGTTAGGTAATAGGTATTATAATTTATAACCATTACGTACGTCGTACAATATCGGATTAGCCGTTATCATAATTAAAAATACAATCGATGCACGACATCGTATACGACAACTCTTGGCGAGTGGTTAGACCCACACTTTTTAAAGTCGCATAACTTTTCATGCGCCTTTAAGTCGTGCGAAATTCAAGAATAGACTATTTAAAATCTCGCTCGACAATTCCTTAATGTCGTATACGACTAGTAGATAGCGCCGTTCGAGAATTGACCCCCTGACGTCTGGCGGCGACTGGCGCTGTAAACATGTTGGTGAGATACTGATTACTGATATCAATTTGAATTTCAAAAGATATTATTCGTTTTGAAAGTGTTAATATTATGATTTTGAGATTTGCGTATAGAATAGTATTATATATGATTTTTTTATATAATATAAATCTGTTTGTTTTTAATAATGATTAGCCAAAAATAATAATAATGAGTAAAAGACCTAGAACGGAACCACCAACTAACGGTCAAGAAGACATTTGGGGTGACGATTTTACTTATGATGAAGTGAACTCAATTGTCAACATTGAATCTTTGGCATCACAATCACATTTTCCCGGTATGTTAATTAGTACTAAATAATTTAATAGTCTAAATGTGTACTTAATAATTAATACAATAATTTAAAAGTTCTTGTCACGACGAATCACCTTGCCATTTTCCTAAAACTAATATTATTGTTATATGGTGAATACATTGTGGTTAAATATCCAAAATAATGTTTAACTATTAATTTCATTTACAATTTATAAAATATATAACCTTATATTTTAAATGTGTTCATATTACAATTTATTACATTTATTGAAAATATGTTTTAGTTAAACCTATGTACCCCTTTATGTTCCAGGTAATTTAAATAACCCTGGTAATCAAAGGGACAGTCAAATTAGAGAGGGGGAGATCAAAAATTTAAAAAATAAAATCAAGCAGTTAGAAATTCAACTATATAACACAAAACAAGAACAAGATGATAAATTTAAAACCTTAAAAAATATTATCGACTGTAAAGATACAGAGCTTAAATTTCAGGTTAGCTATTTATAATCATATTATAGACTGATACCATACTGATAATTAATGTAGATTAAATGTCTTTATTATTTTTTATAGCAACAAGAAACGACTGCTCTTAAAAATAAGATAAAAGAAATGAAGATTATCACCAAAATTGTCCCTCAGAAAAATGTATCATTTAGCTGTATGAAAACTGGAAGTAACTCAACTTTGTTGTAAGAAAAAAGATAATTATTTACTATAATATCTAATTATTACTAATTCAACAAATATTTAGACACAGTGCTTCAGAACATAATACAAAAAAGAATGTATCAACTCAAACATTTCAAATCACAAATAATGAACATTATCTATTAATAAGGGATAATTTTCCAGAAATAAATAAAAGTTATGAAAAGCTAAAAAAATGTTTGTATCCTGACTTATTTACTATTCAAAATAATCAAAATGGTAAAAAAAAAAATATTTTTATTCAGGTATGAAAAAATTAAAGATTCTTTAATACCTATTTTTATTTTTTTATTTGATAGATGTTAAAAATTTAAGTACAATACAAGATTGTCATTTAATTTTAGCCAAATTAATGGTGTTAGAAACTTTTGATGAAATTCAATCTCACTCTTTAATTGAATTGGTAAATTGAAAAAACAATTATAACTAAATTAAAAATATATGTATTTATTATAATTTTTCTAATTTTTTCAGTTATTTGAAAACTGTAAGAATATTTTAGAATCTACAATTGAAATACTTCAAGATACAATAGATGATGAGGATTTTGTTAAAAGAGAAAAACAATTAATTTATAGTTACTTACATTTAAACAAACAATGTTTAAAAAATAGGTTTTCTATGTAAGATAGTTATAGTGTTATATTTTTACTTGTTCAACTTTTTTATCAAATGTTTTTCTTAGGTTTGATCTACAGTTCTCTCATTTGTTGGATTGCATATCGGTATTGACTACTATTTCTAATGTTGTCCCAAGAATTGTTATGAATCATACAAATAATTTATTTCAAACATTTGTACACTTTTTACAAATAATTGGTTCACAAGTAATAATTGTTGATTTTGAATGATTTTGATTTTAACTATCTAATTATTCTGTAATATTATTGTTATAGAGTCGTACCATGGAATATGTTTCGGTAATTATAGCACTGATAAAATTTCTTACGAATTTGTGTAGTTGTAATTGGGAAATAACAAAACAAAAGTGAGTAATAAAATGTTTAAAACATAGTTTTATTTTTTTTTTCATGTTATGATCACTCTAGGCAATTGGACATTTATGATATAATTAAAGAAATAGTATTCTGCCGTCCTTGCATTAACATTGTACAAGAACTAATCAATTTGTTAAGCAAAATGTCTATATACACAGAGATAACGGACAGTCTATGTCAATTATCTAGTAAGTTAAATACGTTTTAAATCTTATATAATATATTGTATAAATTTAAGTTATAACCAGTGGCTTCATTTCAGTTTTTATTAGACTAGCACAACTTTTCACTGCTTTTCCAACTCAAAATTATTTTCACTCAGATTCTCATAGCATATAGTCATAGTGGTTAAGGGTGGGGGTGTGGTAAATGTGCCGACTTAAGGTTGATGTAAATACTAGACTGGGGCAAACCCCCCCGCCCCCCATAATTGGAATATTAAAAATTAAAATTGTTTATCAATATTTCCATGATTACTACATTTGACCTAGTATTAATTGAATTTAACATTTTTGCTTTTTATTCAAAATGGTAAATTATGTTACATACAAATTGGATGTTGGAATTAAACAAATTAACTAGTATGTTATATAATTAATAACTTCAAAACAAAATAAACTATGTTCCTAAGATTTACTTAATCAAAAAATTAAAATGAGTACTCAATTTCTTATTGTTATTTTAAATATCTCCAACATTTATGATTAATACCATATATATATATTTATTTTTTTCAGCTCCTAATACATTTATTCTATCTGACAGAGTTAGCACATTTACAACAGGTACAAACTGTACATTATTTTATTATTTGTTTTAAAAATAATTCTATCATTATTAATTTAGGAACATGTGTTCTCCGTGTGCTTTGTCTTCAGCTAGAACTCCTCAAACACAGCAATCATCTTATTACAAATTATTTATATTTTGTAAATGTTCTTTTAAATAGTACACATGTACCCAGATGGATGCACAAAATACCAAACAAAACATGTGATTGCACTGCATCATTTATAGAATTAACTATACAATTTTTGTATATTGTATTCAACATTTATGAAAAAGGTATATTTGGTTATAATTTATTTAGTAAGATAATTACAATATTTTTATAATTTAGAAAGAGAATCTTACGACATTGATCTATTAAAATTAATGGAAGAAATTGTTGAAAATAGTTACTCAATACTATATCGCCTAGGAAAGATGGATGAAGAATTTCGTAGTCACATAAGTAAATGTAAGGGCCGTTATGATGTTATTGTTCGGAAAATTCAAAAGCTTGAATTTGGTAAATCAAACAGTAAGAACCAACACTAAATTCATTTGTTGAATTCATTATATTAATATTTGTATTCATACAGCATTTTTAGTAAAAGAATTGAAAAAATTTGAATTCAAATCATTAACACATAGCCAATACAGTTCTTCGGTAATTTATGAAGTATTTCCGATTGATAAACCCAAATTTACACAAAAATCACAGTACCAATTTGATGAACCTAACAAACAAGTTTCTGAAAATAATACATGGAATAACTAACAATGCATAAATTATATTGTATAGAACTATATGCAGGTGTGTATATTAATAATTAATAGTAGTATCTTAACCAAATATAGAATAAAAGCATTAATTAAAATTATTATTCAATAAGTTCCTCCTCATCGCTGAAGTATGAATCTTTACGGTACACTTTTTTATGTAACACCTCAACTTTGCTTGACTGGTCAATATTATTCTCTTGCTGAAATAAAAAATAAATAACCAAACTGTATGATACTTATATTAATAATTATTAATTAGTTCTTCTTACTTCTTCGTGTATTACTGCACTTAATGTTTCCATATGAGATGTATCACATTTTTCTTCATCACTATTTCTTTCTTTGTCATTTTTAGTTCTGTCATAAAATTCTGTATCCTCTTCTGAGCTAAGATAAGATTCTTGATTCTGTAACAAAATAAATAAATCATTTGAAATGTATACCTAGTTGTTATTTGCTAAATGAAAAAATGTTCTTACTTTGCTACATCCTTCATTACTATCTAAGTTTTTCTTTTTTTTCTTTTTAGGTGGTGGCTGTCGTTCACCCAAACAATTTTCTGGACATTTGTAACTAAGATGGCCTTCTTTGCCACATTCGTAGCAAAAACTTTTGTCAGTATACTGACGTTTCCTGATAAATTCAGTACTACGGCCATTGTCTACTGCAATAGAACTTTTTAACGTTCTTCCGAACATCTAAGACACAAATATATACAAGTTGTTTTTAAGAGGTATAGATAACTTACAAATGTAAGTGATAATATAATATCATTACTTGTATGCCATTTGTAGATTTAACACAAATGTTAGCTTCATTTTGATTAAGAAATAATACAAATGCCACTCCTTTACTTTGTCGTGTTGTTTTATCTTTAACTATTGTAATTCTAATATGATAAAATTATATTAATCATAAAGTTAAGTGATTTATTTAAAATGGTGCAAATTTTAGGTTTAAAATGAATACATATTTATTAATTATTTATGTAATTTGTATGTTAATATTTTTATATTATTGTTTTTTAATTAATTGATTTTATAAATAAAATACATTTATAATAATTGATTCAACTATATAGCTATTAAATGTATATAACATATTTACCAATCCCTGATAGTTTTAAGGTGATTACTTCTATACACCATATCAACAAAATACAAAGCAGTAAACATTTTTATATTGACGAATCTAAATTAAGTTGTATTAAAAAAAAAACATACATTTTTTTTAAATTTTTAAATGTGTTCTATTCTAATATTAAATACTTAGTTATTATTTCAAATAAATGGAATAGCTTCTGACTAACAGTTATAGTTCTAAGCGTTTTTTTTGTTTGAAAAAAAACTAACAATATTTAATAGCGCATTATGCGCACAGATTATGTCAGATAAATATATTAAGGTTCCAAACTAAAAACGTTACATCATTAAACAATTTTATCATACTAATTGATTCTGAAAAAGACATTTTGGATAAAATTAAAATGTCAAAAATGATTAAAAAAATGAGCATTGATAAATGGAAGGAGAATCTCTGTGTGATATTTAACATAAAATATGTCTGTTATTTGGCATGCATTATGATAATTATTTATGTTAATTTTTGATTTGTTATGTATAAACAGAGTGATTTTTAAGCACGCTCACCCTATTTTTATGCTTTGGGGTTTTTAGATGATAAACTCAAGGTTAGGATCTTTAGACCATATTTTCAAATACTTGAGATTTTTCTCTTCACTTTAGGACGATCCTGTATCTATTCAAACTCCTGTTTTTCAAATAAAAACCCCCATTTCACTTTTAATTATTCAGTAGATATTTCTTGTGAGAATTTTGATGTATCTAAATCAAAATTCGAGTAAGTAGTTTTTGAGTAATATATTAATATCTTAGTGTACTAAGGATAATATGTTTATATGGTAATGGGTCAAGCACACATAGCTTAGATAGTTTGAAAATATCTGTCTATAAACATAAATAATTTATGAAAATTATCCAAATATAATAACTTCTACATCTATTACAATATAATATAGCTTATATTTTTAAGAATTGTTATCCTTAGTGTAAATATTTTAATAACTCATCAACTACTAATTAGAATTCATTAGATACATCAACATTCTCAAGAATATTGTCCACTAAATTATTTACAGTAAAAAATATAGTATGGCGTTGTAAAAACATGAAGTTTATATTTTGAAATTGTTTTCATTTATGAAATTAAGTTGACAATTTCATTAAGCACGATTCCCTCATAAATATTACTTAACACCGGCTCTGTACGACACATCTAAATATATATGTTATGTACTTATCAATTTTAAAAAAGTTTTAGTTCATGGGTAATATTCTAATATTATTGTGTATTTTAACTTTTAAGACATAATTTCAACAAAAAAATAAAAATAAAAATACTTTTTGTAATGTGTATACCCACTTAACTAATTTTCCATATTTTTCAAATACTTTATGTAAATCGTTGTTTGTCAAATTGAATGGAAGATTTGAAACATATACTGTACATTTGCTTGGAGCTAATTTATTCATAATAAATGTGAATTTAAAAAAAAAAATGAATTTATCCTTTACCTAATAGAAGATTAGTACATATCGAAACTAGCACTAGTATGGTTTTAACTAAATACAAATTAAAAATGTATTGAACTTTAACTGACAACTAAGTACCAACAAGCGTAAAGCGACAATATTTATAAAAGAAAATCTTAGTTCACAGTATCACAGTATTTTAGTATTTACTATTTACATTATCATAATCATTATCATGGTTAAATACATTGGTATCTGTGTTGGTATGTTCTACGCATGAACATTAGAGGATCCTCTAATGTTAATGGTTCTACGATTTTAAGATCGTTTATCTCAACTTTGTTCTGCGCATGTCTGTCACGTCACTCTGTCCACATTATCCGAGAATGCGCGCCAAAATTTAATTTGATGTTATTATTAAGATATTATAGTAGTTTCACATGACAATGACGGTCAAATAATAATAATCTTTCTAGGAAAATGTTGTCATAAACATTATAACTTTAAATATACATGTATTTATACGTTATTAATTATATTAATAACTTATGTATTTAATATACTAAGTGGTTTTCCGGTTTTCGTACAAAACGTTATCTTATATTGTGTATAATATTTGTGATTAAAGCACAGATATAAAATACTAGATAGCTAACTTGTCTAAATTAGGGTAATCGATGTTGAAGTTAGCCGCCATATGCGTGTGGGTCAATGTTTACATAACTATCTTATCAATACTGTATGATAACATGATATTATTCGCACTGAATAAATTTTTTTTATAAAATATTAAAAAAATATAAAAAATATATACTTCTATTGCAAATGTTTTTAATGAAAACACATAATATTATCCTTATTCAATTTTTTCATCGTCAGATATTAAAGTATTTTGACCATCAGATTGTTATCATGTCGTATTGATAAGACAATTATGTAAACATTGACCTACACGCATATGGCGGATAACTTCAATGTTCGATCACAGACTATATGAAAACAGATAGCTCACTCGGGATCACGGACTAAGATATACAGGACTGGACACGAGATGAATATTGTGGTTACGAAATGTTTTACAACAGGCGGAGTTCGGGGGGATATTTTCCTTTTAGCATTACTAGCGCCGTCTTAGTGGATACTTATGGAACTAGAAATTTGTATGATGTGTTCTAGTTCCATAAGTATCCACTAGGACGGCGCTAGTAATGCTAAAAGGAAAATATCCCCCCGAACACTGCCTGTTGTAAAACATTTCGTAGTCAACCCCCCCACACCCTCCAACCTTGTCGTGTCCAGTCCTGTATATCTTAGTCCGTGCTCGGGATGTAAACAAAAACTATGAATATTATCACCGCGACCAAATCAGTGTGACCACAGTGAGGGCATAACATTTCGTTTGGTCCATGACAAAAAAATGACGCGATTGCTACCTGCCGCCAACATTGAAATTCATACTAACTACCCTTCTATTCTATAGGATCTGACCTTTTACATCCCTTAGAAAATAGGTTATCTTGGCCTTTAGTTGCTGTTTGCACGACTTCCATGTGACTTATTAGTTGACCACTGACCAAGTGTGTAGTTTACTTAATTTTCAGTTTACAATTTAGTTGTACTTCTTAATTTTAAAATGGATAGTAAAAAAACAGGAATGCGTTGCTCTGTACAATTTTGCAAAAGTAAAGCAAGTACTAGGAATATAAGTTTCTTCCAATATCCAAAAGACGATCGTCTAGCATTATGGACAAAAAATTGTGGTACAGAAAATTTGACTGAAGAACTATCAAAAAAAAATAGCTATAAAGTATGTGGGGATCACTTTGTAGATTCAATGTTTTTGAACTCCACAACAAAAAACCGACTAGTTTTCAATGCTATTCCAACAATATTTAATGGTAAGTAAATAATAAAATTATTAAAACATGTTTAAAAATTATACAAATAATTTGAAAAACAAATTTGGATCTTAATAAAGTAATTTTTGGTTTAATAATTTAATTTTAATTTTAGTTACGTTTTTTTGAATTTAATTTTTAGATGAAATAATGTTTGAAAGAACTAAATTGGCCAAATTACAGTCGAAAACCGATGTAGATCCACAGTATTTTGATGATAATTCAAAAGACCAGAGTAGCTGTAGTAGTTCAATTCCAGGCACTGAAGGATTAAGAGGTCATTTTAGTGGATCCATGAATACTTCTGATGCTTCAAATGAATCTTGTAGCTCAATCACAACTACTGATTCTTCAAATCAAACACCTGGATACTTATCGGCAAATACACCAAGGAAACAAAAACTAGTCACGGAGATTAAATCTGGAAAACAAGAAATAAAAAATTTAAAGAAGACTGTAGTAAGTCTAAGTCAACAATTAGCTAACTATGATACAGTTGAAAATTTTTTAAAATTAGGTGAAAAATATTTATCACCTGGATTATTTACAATTGTCAAATCCCAAATGAATTTAAAAAAAAAACAAAAAGAAGGTTATAGATATAATAATGAAATTAAACAATTAGCATTAAATATTTATTTTTTAGGACCTAGAGTCTATAAACTTTTATTAAATACTCTTTCACTACCATCAATTTCTACTTTAAAACGGTTAACTCATAAATTTGAAATGATACCAGGCTTGAATGAATTTTTTTTTAATATTATTAAGTATAAAATTAAATATTTTACTGACGAAGCTAAAGAATGTGTTCTCTGTGCAGATGAAATGGCCTTAAAATCAAACCTCTATTATATGTTAAACAAAGATGAAATTATAGGGTTTCATCAAACAAATAAGACAAAGACTTATACTCCTGCCAAGTATGCATTTGTTCTAATGGTTAGAGGAATAAATGTTAACTGGAAACAACCAATTGCATACTTTTTAGTATCAAGTAGTTGTACCGGATATGACTTGCAGGATATTATTTTTGAAACTATTCGCAAACTTTTTGATATAGGATTAAATGTAAAAGCTTTTATTACTGATATGGGTTCTAACTTTGTTAGTTTCAGTAAAAATGTTAATGTTACCCCAGCCAGGCCTTTTTTTAAAGTTGGTGAAAAAAAAATAATATATATATTTGACCCTCCCCATTTATTAAAATCAACAAGAAATATGTTTTTTCAACACAATTTTAAATTTAATAATAACTTAATTGAAAAAAAAACACTTAATATCATTTTTTGAACAAGACAGTAAATGTAATTTAAGAACAGCCCCAAAATTAACACATTCTCATATTTTTCCTGGACCATTTGAGAAAATGAAAGTTTTTTTGGCTGCGCAAGTGTTTAGTCAAAGTGTAGCAGCCGGCATGGAGACTTACCTTGTTAGTAATAAATTGGAGTCTTCTTCAAAGGCAACAATAGATTTTATTGAAAATATGGACAAACTTTTTGATATCTTCAATTCTTCAAGAAGGCCAACTTCAAAAAATTTCAATAGACCCTTTAAACAAACAAAAGAACAAGAAGACCATTTAAAATATATGCATAATTTTTTTACAAATTTAATTATTATTAGCAAAAAAGAACAAACTGATGTTACTAACCGGATGAAATTTATTAATGGTTGGTTGATCTCCATAACTGGCTTGCTGTTACTTTGGAAAGACTTAAAATCAACAAGACCATTAAACCAACAAGAAAATTATGTTTTATACACTGCCAGATTAAACCAGGATACTATTGAGAATCTTTTTTGTACAATTAGACAACAAAATGGCAATAACACTAATCCAACTCCTTATCAATTTTTGTTTGCATTTAAAAAAATTTTTTTACTTAATTATTTTCAACACTCAGAAAAAGCAAATTGCATAAATGATTTGGATGCAATTTTAACTCAAATGCCCACTGATTCAGACTTAGACATTAGCACCCTATTTGCTGATAAAACACCCTTTCAATTTAAAAAAACCTGTCCACTTTCTATAGGACATGTTGATTATAGAAATTTAGAAATTCCTGAACAAAATGCATTCATTTATGTTTGTGGATATATTATGAGTAAATGTCTAACCAAACACTCATGTGAAATATGTTTAGAGTATGCAAGAACCCAAAAAAATTTAGATCCTTCATTTTTGTTATGCTTTTTTAAAGCGTATGAAAATGCTGAAAAATCAACGTTTGGAAATTTAAATATGCCCCATGAAAATTTTTACAATTATGTTTATAGCTTAGAATCTGAATTTATAAATAGTTTTCCTATTTTGTCTGTTGAAAAAGGAATAGGCGATAAACTTAAAATGAGAATGCTTAATATTGATTATGAACATCCATGTCCCAACTTTGATAAAGATTACTTAGTGAATTTTTTTTTGCGTTTTAGAATTTATGCTTCAATTAAATTTTTAAATAGACATTTGGTATCTGAAAAAAAAATCAAAAACAGAAAGTTAGCAATTTTGCAGCATTTGTAAAGCAATATTTTGTAATTGTATTAATTTTATAAATATTTAGATGTATAATTGTAATTTAATAAATACCTTTTTTTATTAGAATTTAATATGTGCTAATTATACTAATTGAATTGTATGATACTACAATTGCTCCATTTATGTTTGAATACCTGTAACTAAATTATAAATTAAACATTAATTAGTTATTACTTTTGTAAATTGTATTATAAATCTTTATATGTGTCTCTATGTTGTAAATAAAACATATTTAAGTTAGGAATAAATTATGTACTGTGTAATTATTTAGATTACCTACCTATAAATACTTATTATAGATTTACTTATATATTACCAAATTAGTATATATATCATTTTTATGTTTTAATATGTACTTACCTTTGTTTTCCTTAAGCATGGAAAATGTCTAAATATTGAAATAAATATTTTTTTTATGTAAAGTATGATATCATCATCATGTTTACAGTCTACAGTACTCATAAATGTATTGCATGTAACTTTAAATATTAACTATATTATAAAATAATATGGTCTGTGGTTAATACTAAAAGACTAAAAAAGTTTTAATGTAAATT